CCAACACCAACATCAAGGGCTCGGACCGGTGAGTGCCGCGCCGGGACCCCGCAGGGACCCCTGCCTCGCCGGGGGGATGCGCGGGGCTCGGCCCCGGTGCCTCTGCGGGTAGCTGCTTTCACCTCCCTGCCCCGGCCTGAGCACGGAATGTGCGATTCCTTGGAGGGTGCTGCCGTAATTAAGCCAGGTTTAATTGAAATGTCATGCCGAGGCCTGGATGAGCCTTCTGTGTTTATTTATAGCAGCGTTCAGTGCCTAACGGCGGTAAGTGAGCTGAAGAGGGGTTTTGGAAAAGGACAAGAAGTGACAGGAGTAGGGGGAATGGCTTTAAACTGGAGGAGGGTAGGTTTATATTGGATATTAGGAAGAAGTTATTCCCTGTGAGGGTGGGGAGCTGCTGGAACAGGTGCTGGAGAAGCTGTAGCTGCCCCTGGATGTGTCCAGGCCAGGTTGGACAGGGCAGGAGCAGCCTGGGACAGTGGAAAGTGTCCCTGCCATGGCAGGGGTGGGACTGGATCGGATTTAAAGTCTCTTTTAACCCAAGCCATCTGTAGTTCTCTAGTTCTTTATGTGCCTGAGCAGCGATGCTGGGCTGACCCCCTGATTGTTCAGGGTCACTGGACACTGCTGTGAATGACCACAAACCCCCCCCGTGCTGGTCACTGGGGCTTAAACTTCAATTAAAACTGGGGGACAGGGAAATCTGGCTGTCCCCTGCTCCAGCTGTGGGTGACAGGCTGGGCAGAGCGAGTGTGGCACTCCCAGGTGGAAATCACAGCACAAAACAGAGGCACAGGCTGCAAACAGAAGCTGAAAGCAGATGTTTAAGGAAGATAGGAGCAGGGCAAGTATATCTGGTATTTTCCTGGTATTCTTACATCATCTGTAAACCCACACAGAAATAAATACTTCAAATTATCTCCTGTGAAAAGGTGGGAATTTCAGGAACAGCCAACAAAACTGTAACAGCAGATGTAGGAATTAGTTTGAGGGAAGGCCTAGACAGGCCTAGAATGTTTGTAACACATTTGGGATTTTATCATTACAGGAGGAAGCTACGAAGTGATGTGGCAGCAGCTTTTCCCACCCTGAGCACTGAACAACTGGCTGAGTTGATTCCAAACAAGGAGGAGCTCAATGTCATCAAAATACACTGTCACAAAGGGGAGGCCATCACAGTTTACACGAACCACAGGAACCCAATACTGTTTGAAGCTGAGAAAGTTCTGTATCCAACAGGTAGGATTGGAATAATCCTCCCTCTTTGCTTACCTTCCCAGTTAATCATTGTGGCATTGTTTTGATTTCACATTTCTTTATGATCCAATTAAGTGTTTTATTATCCAATTAAGTTTAATCTTCATGGTTATCCAAGGAGAGTTTAGTCTTAAAGGTTAGAAGGAGCAACAGCCAGAGATGTTCTTAATGATGGATTTTTAAATTTATTTCTGTTTTGGGACAGTGTACACTCTGTGGGTCTACCCAGACCTTCTCCCTGCCTTTACAACATGGCCCCCAGTGCTACAGAAACTTGCAGGAGGAGCAGGTAAGAGCACCAGAATTTTGTCCCTTTGCCCTAGAAAAGGGAGTTACCTTTGGGGATTTTTAGGTGTTTTCCTTCACAGTGATAAAAATGTACCTGAAACAAGTAGAAGGGATGAGTACTCAAAAATAATTGGTGGTGGTGTCCTAGAAAGGAAATAAATTAGCTGTAAAAAGAGTTTGTGAATGAAAGTAGGTGAAGCTGTGCAGTAACCAGCTCCGTGTGGGAGGCTCAGATTTGGAAATCCCTTCTCAGAGTGACAAGCAGCCCTGAACTGGGACACAGAACTGCCTGTGCCATTGGTCTGTCCCTTTTGAAAATTCCTTTGCTGCCA